AAAAAAAAAAAAAAAACATTTCTTCTAATTTTATGGAGATGAACATCATAATTTTTTTATTATATAGCTAATATTTAAATTTTTATATTTTATTTATATAATACTTAAATATTTATGATACATCTTCAAAAAATAATCTTGATCGGGCACGAATCTCGACGCAAAATCAAGTTGGAAATTTTCAAAATTAAAATTAGGACCATCTGAACTCAGATTTCAGCAAACTTACAAACAAACTGAACGTCTGAGAAATACAAATCCAACAACACAAAATTCAACCAAATCCGAGCCCAATGGGTCCAAATCAAGGGCCCGAAGTGTTGTTTGAAGGTTCAAACCATAATTTGGATTACCTAACAGTTTCCAAACTTGGCGTGCTTATAATCGAATTAAGCAGCTTGACGAGACAAATCCAACAAGACCAAGATCACTAAATTCTAACATCACTAATACATTCAAATGTCCCTCAAACAGTCCATGATTAAGTCGACCGTCCATCCAACCACTCTCCATTTGCCCTTGATCCTTCTCCTATTTATGGGCCATGCCACTCTAAGAAAGTTATAAATAGACCCCTCATTCCTCTTTAAAGGGGGACCCCAAGACAAAGGATTCGAGAGAGAGATCGAAGATCGCTCTTGCCTCCTTGCTCCTCCTCAGCCACCGCCTGAGTTCTACCAGACCACCGCTTGACATCATTGCTTCATCGGACCACCACTTGAGGCGACCACCACTTGAGGCCCTCACCTCCGCTGGACCACCAATTGAGGCTCTCACCTCCGCTGGATCACCACCTGATGCCCGGACTTCTGCCGAACAACCACCTGACGCCCGGACTTCTGCCGAACCACTACATGAGTTTCAAACTTCTATCGGACCACCACCTAAGGCCCAGGCTTTTTCAGACCACCATCTGAGGCCCGAACTTTTTCCGGACCACTACCTGAGGCCCGAACTTTTGCCGGACCACCACGTGAGGCCTAGACTTCCGCTGGACCAGCACTTGAGGCCCGGACTTCTACTGGACCACCACCCGAGACCCATATTTCTACCAGACCACCACCTGAACCCTGTACTTCTATCGGACCACCACCTAACGCCCATACTTCTACCAGATCACCACCTGAGGTCCGGACTTCTACCGGACCACCACTTGAGGCACAGACTTTTATCGGGCCACCACTTGATGCCTAGAGTTCTACCAGAGTATCGCCCTACTACAACTATCTTTTGGACCTTTGTCTCCTAATGACTATGGTCCTTCCAACTTCCATCGCCTACTATGGTCCTTCTAACCTACATCTCCAGACAATGGTCTTTCTGACCTCGATCTCTTACATACTATGGTCCTTCCGACCTACATCACCAGACAATGGTCTTTCTGACCCCGGTCTTCTACCTACTATGGACTTTCTGACCTCTATCCTATCAACTATGATCCTGCTGACCAAACAAACATGTTTATGTTGATTATTGTAACTCCCACCATGTAATGCGCTCTATATGATGTACATTTATGACATCATACCAATGCCTTCTCTCTAAAAAGGGCCTCATTTCTAATTGACTACAAACTGGTGGATTCATTCAAACTGGGCCAAGCCTCGCGGTTTTTCCCCCCTTTTTAGGGATTTTCATGTAAAAACTCTAATGTCTCTTATGAACGCTACACCCTCTCTCATATCTGCTTATGTGCTGGATCTTCGTACAATGCTAAGATGCTAAAGTTTATAATTCTCTACCACCGTGAATACTCTAGAATGCAACAATTTACATTATATAAAATATAATAATATTAACTCATTGAAAGTAAAATACATTATATATATTATTTGTTATGAGTATAATCAGTCATTATTTTTATGAGAACGAAGCATCTTACATAGATTTCTCAAATTTGTCTTCTCAAATTGGTCGCATTTGGTTTGTCATTATTATGATCTTCCCAAATAAAATAATCTAAATTAGGTCTTTAAATTTTATTTTATTCAATTAAATATAAATTTTTTCTTGAGTGATTTCAACTCGACTACTAAAGCAAATCCTTTACTGAAGGAGACTTCCAAAATTGTCAACTTTCTTACATCTCACTCTCATAACAAACAAAATTTCAAATTAAAAAAAAATGGTTCTTCACCTTCTTTTTCTCACTTAATTTTGTCTCTAATCTAAGCTATAAATCGAAAGTCCCCAACCGCCATGTTGTTTCTTCATCCATACCTCCCTTCCCAAACCATTTGCGAACACCACCGTGATGGCGGCGCTTGAATGCAGCTCCGGAGGGCAGAACACGGGCGAGAAATTGTTCAGTCATCTCCTCATGAGAGCCCGGCACCAGTCAGAGGCATTCGGGCGAGAGCTGCCGGAGAAGAAATGGCAGCGAATGAGCCGTAACGTCGTTGCAGCCATCGCCGCCCTAAGAAACTCACTCAACCTCAACGTCTCTAACTCTTCGCTCACGCACCTCTTTCCCGGCAGCCACATCCCTGAGAAACTTCTCTCTGACATTCGCCGCCATTTCGATTCCCTTCCCAATAGCTACTCTCAAGCGGGATTTGACATTAAGGAGGTTTGCCTTCATCTTGGATTGGTCAGGCAGGCGGCCGACGATGGTCAACCTGCCTTTCAGATCCAGCGGATCTCAGGTCAGGATAACGTTTTCAAGATTGTATTCGTTTGCAAATCAGCCTTCTCGTGGCCGACGATGTCCGGCGCTATTGGAGGATCTGTGGTCTGCTTTAAGAAAACCCAAATCTTTGAGAAAAAGGAGCTTACTCTCGGCGTCGTTACCGTCCTCATCGATGCTCGCTGCGAGAAGAATTTCAAGTATCGTATCGAAGCCGCGCTTCGTTCGGCCGCTAAGAAGCAGCGGAACGCCGGCGTCAAGCTTCATTTTCGCCTCTGTGGCTGCCAGGAAGAAGGCTTGGTGACCAACGAAAAAAATTCTGTCTTTTCTGCGCCTTCGGAGATAAACGCCTGCCCCATTCGCCAGATTCATCTCCCAAACCCTCTTCCCGAGATCATCTGCTCCGGCGGTGCGGAACTCAGCCGGTGGCTTCTCAGAGCTGAAGATATCAAATTCATTGAAAGAGCTGGAATCAATTCCTTTATCGGAACGTATAAAGGGAAGAAGGTGTGGATCAAGAAGCTGAAACGGTGTGAAAGGGGAAGCGCATATGAGATCGAGATCCAGCAGAAGTTGATCGGGCTAATGAGCTGCGGGCATAAGAACTTGCTTCAGTTCTGCGGAGTTTGCTTCAATGAGAGCAATGATGGGCTCTGCGTCGTGACTCGGCTAATGGAGGGAGGATCTGTCCATGATTTGATACAAAAAAAGAAGGTGCGGGTCGGGGATATTATGAGGATTGGATTAGATGTCTCTGAGGGGCTCTTGTTCATGAACAACCATGGAATGGCTTACAGAGATCTCAACAGGCAGAGAATTTTGTTGGATGAAGAAGGGCGTGCTTGCCTTGGTGACATGGGCATTGTTTCTACTTGCATGAATCGAAGGCAGGCCACAGAGTATGAGACTGCTGGATATCAGTGGCTAGCTCCAGAGGTGAGCCTCCTCACTGCGGCAAATTATTAGGTGCGGATATCAGACGGAGAGAATGATCTGAATTTCTCTCTGTCTATAATAAAAGCACAGTTAGCAGCTGTGCTTCGACTGTGTTTTTACTGTAGACAGAGAGAAATTCAGATATTTCTCTCTGTCCGATGTCCGAACCTAAAAACTTATCGTTCACTGCGGCTTAATTCATACACATTCTTTTCAAAATTTTGAAATATCTTAAAAGGTAATTTCATTTAATAAAGAAGAGCGTGTTTTAAGTTTAAATTAGTTTAAAAAGTAGGTTAATAAAAAAATTTAAAAATGAACAAATATGGTTTCTACTTTGATGGTGATTTTAAAAGAAATCGGAACACGAAATTAAGGTTTCTTTCAATAAAAAATTATGACAATATTGTATTATGGCATTATTATAAAAAATAAATTAAATTATGTTTTAAATTTTATAAACACGTTGCATGTTAATTAATTGATTATGTTTTAAATTTTTGTGTTATGTTTTATTTGAACTAAATGTTAAAACGGATTATATTTTAAAAAATAAAATAAAATTAATTTACTTTTACTTTTTTTTTTATTTACACTGTTCTGATTATTTTTTAATGATATATGTGTGTGTGATTAAAATTAAAAAAAAAAAATTAATCAAAATTTATCCAACAAATCTCCAATCTTCTCTCTCTCTCCACTCAAAATTAATATTTTTTAAACCGTTGGAATTGTTCATAAAAATTTCCCAGGAAAACTTGCATAGTTAAAGAACCAAATCATTTGCTTATTTGATTGTTCCATCTTGATATTGGGTGCAGATAATAGCTGCTGACCCTGAGAACAAGACTGAGACCTGGATGAGCAATGTGTACAGTTTCGGTATGCTGTTGTGGGAGATGGTAACTGGAGAAGTAGCATACTCTTCTTACTCGCCAGTGCAGGCGGCGGTAGGCATCGCCGCCTACGGAATGCGGCCGGAGATCCCGAAGGATTGTCCTCCGATTCTGAGGTCGCTTATGATAAGGTGTTGGAACAACTTTCCATCAAAGCGGCCTCAGCTCTCTGAAATTGTTGCCATCCTTTCGAAGCAAAAGATTTCAGTGGGATAGCTCATGCTGTAAGCTACCCCGCTGAAATGACGTGTGACTGTTTCATAAAAGCAACTTTTTAATAAAAAATATACTAAAAAGCTGCTTTAAGAATCAGAAAAAAAGCCGTCCCAAAAGAATCTAAGTTGCTTTGTTCATATCGGTGATCGTCATCTCTATCTCCAGTTTCCTTGTCATGCACAATAGTTTCAAATTTGCCTTCCATTGATCTTGCAGTTGTATTAAGCTCAATGTAAATTGAAGTAATATATTACACTTCTAGAAATCTTCTCATTCTCTCTGCTTTTCTGCTCTGTTCTCTTCGTTATGGTGCTTTTGATAAACCTGATATTCTCAATAGCCTCGTGATGCTTAGGGGAGCTCTGATCTCCAAGTGATCTTACAAACTCTACAAATTGGTTTTTCATCTTCAATAGACTTCACAAAAGATGGAAAATTACATTGACTCTCACTTGGCTGATCATCTTCATCATCTCCTCCCAAGGGCGGAACTGTCTAGTGTTGAGTGGGGCAATTAGCCCCCCTAAAAAAATTAAAACTCTTAATATAGTAAAGATTATTTGTAATCCCGTTATTTGGGAGGAGAGGATCTTCGACATATGGCAAACTAATCTATACACTTTTGTAATCCCGTTATTTGGCAAGTGGCAAACTAATTTATTCGCTCCTTCAAAAGTCTGAAAGCCTCTTAGCATCCCGTTATTTTCATCCGATTATGTTGAACTTTTCTGACGCTAACAAACAAGTCTGTGAAAAACGATTATATGCAAACTAAATTATTTTGCACCCTTATATATATTTTTATTTTTTTATAAATTTGTCATTTGTCCTACTGAGAACTAAGGCTGGTTCCGCCTCCGAATTGTCTCCTCCTCTCTTTAGTGTTCTTCTTATCTTAATTAGTATGTGATCAAAAGTGTTCGCCTCATGGGTGATTTTGCAACTTCAGCTTGAGCATTTTCTCAAGCAGCTGCCCTTCATTCTTCCATCCAGACACGAGTTGATCAAAGCGAATAAGGAAAAGAAGCACTGACGCCTGAAATTATTGTTTTGCTTGCCAATATGAGCTCTTTCATTGGAGTTTCCTGTGCTTCATGAACGGATTGTAGGTGCTCCGAGCCATCATTGTCCTACAAGAATACTATGGATCCATCTCTTTCATGATTTTTTTTTACTTGATAAAATTTTATTTTGAATACAAGAAGCCTTTTTTGTCTTTTTTAGATGATGAGCATAAGAAATTTCAAAGAACACGCAGAAGAGGATGAATGCTTTAGATTTTTTACTAACGATAAGATCTATAATTTAGTTTTTACAGGTCTAATTCTGCAATATAACATAAACGCTTACATGCGCAACACGCATTATTGATGCTTCAGTTGGGGAAGAAAAACACATAGCGAACACAAATAAGAAAGAGAAAATGCAGCTGGAATAAAGAACACCAAGATTTAACATGAAAAAAACTGAAACTGGAAAAAAAAAAAAACCATGAAGTCACACCACACTAGGAAATTTACTGTGAAAATTTGGGAGAAATAATATAGATCTCTCTCTCTCTCTCTCTCTCTCTCTACACTCTTATAATGTTCTCTTACAAACAAATAAAGAGAACTCGACCAAAACCACCAAGGTACGCAACCTTTAATGAAAAACGAGAAAGAAAATTGCTAGCCCGCCTTGCAGTGCCACGGAGCCAAGTTTGGAGTGTCGTGACGCTCCACTTTGTGTCTCCTATTTGTCTGACAGAGCTGCAATGCTGACGTCTGGAGCCAAGCAGCGGTCCGCTCTCTGTCTATCTCCATACAAATTATACAGTACCGTAGTACTTAGGTACACAGCGCCGCAATACTGTATGGTTGTACGAAAAGGTTCAAAAAACATGCAACTTATTATTGAACTTCGAACAACACAAGAGATCGAAAGGTTAAACAAACATATGGAATTCTCATTTCCCTCCATCTTAAAGTTGAGCCTTTAACATAATTTTTATGAAATTCTTCAGTAACCTTCCAACAATAGAAACAACTAAACAAGCTTCAGAAGAAGAACGGTTTTGTAGCATAGATAGCAGGTCTTCTATTAGAAAATAGCATCACTGCAGTAAGTAATGCTGAGAACCAAGTGCTGCAAATCAGTATAAAAAAGAAAAAGGAATTTCTCAACATAGAAAACTTGGTAAATGATTCATACAAATTACATCTGCAAGCATAAAATATCATAATTACTTCTCCCAACAGAAATTTCTTCTCCAGTAGGAGAAAAAAACAGGACAACATAGAACATTAGATGAAGAACATATATGAGAAGAATGGAGATCACCTGATCTATATCACTAGAAGGAATGTGCACATACATTGTTATTTGTATCATCTGTAAGCACTCCATCATCAGTTTTCAAAATGCGATTATAACATTTTTCATTATCTCTATAATTATATAACTGTTTTGTTCCAGCTGAACCTGATAGAACTGAATGATCTTGGACCTTCATCCAACCAGAAGCGTCCTGCTTATCTTCCAGAATCCTCGAAGCAATCATCTTCTCCAGCATAAAAATGGCTGCTTCCTCATGCAGAGTATGTGAAAGATTGGTTGTCATAGTATAGGTATTGTTGGTTCCAGGCAAGGTTTCAGTCAAGATCGAAAGAGGATTTTTGAACTTTTGAGAAAATCTTTGGAGTATGACCTCCTGGTTGTTCTTGATCTTCACCTCTGTTTTCACCTTTGTCTTCAAATGAACAGCTTTGTAGTTCCCATCATTCTGATAATCTACCGAGCTCTTGAACTTAAGCTTCTGATTTACATCACTTGTCAGATTACCAACGGATGAATTCACCCAGCCTGAGAAGTGAACTTTCCTCTCAGCGTCAATTTTGAATGTTCCATTCAAATGAAGAAATTTGTTGGTTCGAACAATCGAAAGAGGAGGTGCTTCGTATCGAATAAGCTTCGCGCTCACTGTTTCAGAATCGGTATCTAACCATAGATGCAGATTTGCATCAATGAGCCACAATGAGATTCCATCAGTAACTCTCAGTCCAATAGAATGTTCCTTCCCATCTAGAAGTAGCTCCAGAAATGGCGTCAGATCGAGATTGTAGGAAGGAAGATCAAATGCCCCAATAGCAACAACAGGTGACCAGAACAAAGGATTGATCCCACCTGTAAAGATAACTGGAAATGGAAGAACAGTGCCCACAAATCGGCCATCAATGGTGGCATAAACCTCACGGAAAGCGCCGTTTCCTCTCTCAGTAGTCAAGTTGTTTTCCTTGATGTATACATCAGGAGGATTCCAGTACCAAAACTCATCGTTAGAATGGGATGAAACGTAGACTTCAAGAACAGCTTTGAAGGTATTTCGAGGAATTATAATTCTACTGTAATGCGCTTCGGATTGATTCTGGATCCGAAACCAGAAACCGGTACTGCTATTCTTTCTTGAAACGGGAATTACAACATCCGCAGGATCATCAAATAGAGGAATCAGCTTTACCTCTTCTTCGTCAAGATCGGATGGTAACCCTAGGTCAAAAGCACCGCGCTTCTTCATCTTCTTCGAATTGGTATCGTCGGAATCGGGATATAACTCGACCGACACATTGACTTTATAGATCCCAGTGTAGACATCGTTGACAATGTTCTCAAGCATCATCGAAACATTCACGCCTCCAGAGCCGCGTAGGAGGGGGGCGTAACGCGTGATATCCTTGCGTACTCGCCAGAATACGCCGGATTCTGTCGGCTCCGCGGTGCTGGTGCGGAGGATCTCGACGCCTTCGATCCAGACAGCTGCGATGCGATCGTATTGGTCGCCGACGGAGGACACGGAGAGGTCGAGAACGATGCGGGACCATGGGGGCGGGCATGCCGCCGGAGGGGAAAATACGCCGGTGGCAGGCGGGAGGCCGTAGGTGTTGGCGAAGTCGTGCTGGAGGACAGGGATGGAGCAGGCAGGGACCTCTGTTGGGGGTAGAAAGGGGGGGAGGGTGGGGTCAAAGTATTCTTGAGGCTCCGTCGATGGGGTGAGGGTGGGGAGGAGGAAGCGGTCGGGGATGGAGAAGGACGAGCTCGACGCCCAGAGGAGGGCAAGGAGAAGGAGAGAGAGGGCAGTGGAATTACACATCGGAAGGGATTTTCCGGCGGGGAGATCAG